ACGGGAGACCTTTCCTTTCTTCCAAACAGATGCTTTCCGTCAGATTACAATCCACAAAGCTTCAAAACAAAGGTCCACCGCCATCTCCTGACATAACTACATTATACTCACTTAAGTACCTCTTGGCCTTGCATTGAGCGACACCGTTAAAAAAAAGGCAAACCTCCCTCTACTATTGAGAGTAACAACATTCCCATTATGATCTGAGTGATTGGTTTTATCTCTGGTATTTGTTTTAGGTCATCAGCCTTCTGATAATGTCATGCTTGAGCGTGTTGATGACATTATGCGGGATCACAACAGCCGCCATTGCCATTGACGGTGAACACTGGAACTACCACGCGGGATCTGTAGGGTGCTACTATGACTGGAGCACCGGTCACAATAGCTGCAATGGCATAGAGGTCAGTGCACCAGTCCTGTGCTTAACAACATAAACAAAAAAACATGTAATTCGCAAGGGGCTTGAATATGAATGCAGAAATGGTTTTAAAAAGTCACAAAATGATTTCACACCTCCTTGAAGTATACAGAGTTGCTGTGAGTTTCTTCTTTTATTCATTATTGTTATTCATTTCGACACTTCCTGTCAGTCTGCGGTTACACCATTCCCCTATGACTCTAATGTATAAAAAATGCAGACACAAGCAAAAACATCGAAAACAAAACCTCCTTAGACAAAATGAATATTTTGTGATGTTTTCGACAGATCGCCCGCTTCACATTTGACGCGGGAAACCTGTTGTTTGCGCTGGTGGAGCTGGGTCTGTCCATCGCTACCATATCCGTCTGCTCCTACACACTGTGTAAGGGGTGCTGTGGTGGGGAGGGGGGCAGCAGCTGCTGTGGGAATGGGAATACCGGGAACGCCTACCAGGTAAGCACGAGTTCTCGTTTTGACTCATTTTTGGCAACACCTCAGTGAAGAATTTTTAATTTCTCAATCTTTGGTAGCCTGATTAAATCGCATGTAACGGTTGCCGGCCGCCCATCATCCAGCCGCCCTGCAGGGAATGGCCACTAAAGCCGCGGACGGCAGAGTTTGCGTTAAACAGACTAAACCTTTGGGTGATAGCTCACTTTCTTGCTGGAATTCGAATAGGAATAGAAATAAATACTGTGAGGGGTGGTAATAAGAACTTTATACTGTACCAAAATACGAAATGCGGGTCCAGATAATTAGTGAAACTACACTTAGAAAGTATATTACATAGGGTTAATGACCGACGTCGACGTCTATATGGTGTCACGAGGTAGGATTGGTTCCTACAGCCAGCGAATAAACCACTGAGTGAGCGAGGCGAACTTGTTTTTGTAGTCCAATATCCTATCTCTTGTTTCAAGCAAAAGTTTTCATTTGAGAGAATTCTTTCAGCAATGACAAGTTTTTGAAGGGTAAGAGTACTAACCTCCAAATTTTCGATGACTATCAGTCCATCTTGTTTTCATTATTTCCATTTTCTATTGTATTATTTCCATTTATTGATTATATTTAATTTTGTATAGTTTAGAGGAGGAGGGCCTTGCATAAGCATTCCATGCTTCTCCCCTCCTCCTGCACTTGTTTCATCCTTGTTTTGTATTATTATTGTCTGCTTTGTTTATGTGCAAACTAATAAAATCAAATCAATTGTAACTTAAATGTTTGACCCAGACTATGCACGAGGTGGGACAGGGCGGCCGCCTGGTCCCGCTGCAGAACTTTGCAAACCTCAACTACGCCCCAGCACACTCCACTGGGCATGCTCCGTCCTACGTCATCAGTAGCCCCATACCTCCTCAACACGGAGACATGCAGCAAGGTGGGAGATACATAATAAAAGTTCATCTGTGTTGGTAGTATTCATAGTGAAACGTTGAACTTTATTCCAACACACAATTGTACAGGGATCAAATTTTCAGGGACCAATGTCGCCTTCATCAGTGTGAATAAGGTCACGTGTCTGTAACCGTAATTCTCGCGAGATCACATTGTGAAGTGATTGGTCATTAATTATCCGGATGAAGACGACAGTGGTCGCTGAAAATTTGATCCCTGTACAATTGTGTGTTGGAATCAAGTTCAACGTTTTACTATGTAGGAGATACATGTGCAGAACGGACACAGTGTTCTGGTGTAGATAACAGTCGAGGAATGTCCGCTTTTCTTAAGGAATGCAAGCTTGTAAGTCAAGGAATGTCCGTTTTTCTAGAGGAATGCAGGATTAAAATCGAGGAATGTCCGCTTTCTACTAGTATAAGAAATGTCTGGATTTGATCATGATTGGACGAGTTATAATAACCTTTAATTGTGGATAACCAATCTTTACTTAGGCGACATAAGATAAAATATGATTGAAATTGACAACATGATAGATCTAATTGCTTTATGAAACAATACTTTGGTACAATCATACTTTCATAGGCTCAACAGGAAACGATGAAAGAACTGTCCACAGTTATTTTTGTGTGCAAGCGTAAAAAATAAAACGTTTCTCCGGTCGCTGCTCTGCCAAACATTTGAATGGTAACGGTCTTCTTGAGTAGCGACCGCTGGAAACGTAGTAAAGCTAACAAGACTGAACTCCAGGCTATGTATTTAGAGGTCCTGTGTTTTGTGTAGGAATGGCTGCAGGTGCTGGGGACCAGGCTATGGCGCTGGCGCATGCGCAGCAGCAACAGCAGAAGACCGAGCCGCAACCCCAGCAGGGTGCCTCCCCAGACGCGCATGCGCAGCCTGGTTACGTCAGCCCTCCACCGGGGTACAACCAGGCATAGATAAGATCAATTCGCTCCAAGCAGATGTGGGGTTCACTTTGTTTAGCTTGGAGATTATAAAATCATGTGACAACTCAAGACCTATGAACACACACAAATTAGCATGCCAGTAATTACCTTCGTCAGAAGGTTATGTGTTGAGGTACACCAGACATAGGGGTTACTGATTTTGCAATCGGTTATAACTTGGGTGTGGTGCATGTATCAGTATGACATTTGGTAGGTCGGAAGAGGTTGGGAAAAGGAAGGCCAAGGTCAATTTTGGGTACTCTAGCGGTTTCGTAAGGTACTGCAGCGCAGGGTACATGGGTATGATATCTCGTGCTGTGGACATGCTATGGTCTTGATTTTTTATTGGGACATAGATGGTTAGGCAGGAAGTAACGTCGTGTGGTTTTCAGTGAAATAGCTGCTTTTTTTTAGCTGCTGTGGTTATTTTTATGACAAAATGTGACTAGACGGGATAACTTGTGAATGGTTTTTACAGTTTCTTGTAGATAGCTTGTAGTGTGGAAAAAGAAGTTCGAATTTGGGCATTCTAGTGGCTTTCTAAGGTATTGCATTGGTACTTTTAGGTTATTGATGTATTGGGAGTATTTTAAACAGATGTTTACAGTGGGGGGTAACTAATAAAATGCTATCGTAAAATTGACAGATAAGATTGTTCTTTTTTCTCTTTTAATGTTGTTTGTACGCGTTCTGGAGTAGCTTACGTCTATTCTCACTTTATTTCTTCAAATCTCTCATACTCTATGATTACCGACATGACATCAATGCCTCCTACCGAATTCCGACGGAATTACAGCCACCTGCATGTGAACTACAGGATTCCCGTTGACGTAGTAAAAGCATCCTCCTTCGCAGGGCTAAAATCCTCCGTTTCCTTCTAAAACCCGAAGGAAACGGAGGATTTTAGCCCTGCGAAGGAGGATGAGTAAAAGGGGCCACCGAAGTTATCTATTGTAACCTCAATATAACAGGTGAGTGAATGATCATGGGATCTTTGATTGAAATATTGCCGAAATTTCAAAATAATCGGTTCAAGCAACAGGTCCACTCAAAACTGAGATAAAGCCAGTTTTGATATCCACTCACACCGGGATGGACCCTTACTCTTTTTAATAAGCTTTATCGAATTTTAAGATAGACTCTACCAAGCTTCTGAGGGTGCCAAATAGACAGATAACATGCCATGACAGGTAGCCCTCTAAACCGTACTCATTTAGTGGACTAACTCTCCTGGCATGTTATCTCTCTGTGTGGCCAATTTCTACTCTTACCGCCACTGAAGCCTGGAAGAGGTTGATTAGTGTCTCCTTTGGTAAATACGGGACCTCTGGTTTTACGTCTCCTCCAAGAAGACGTCCCTAACCGAAGCTAGGTACTCACCCAAAAATGAGTCAAGTGAGGAAATACATGTAGGTGTAAGTGCCCTTCCCAGCGGCACTTCATTGGGGTCTACCAGGGGTTCTATTAAACCCAGAACCTTTAGATTCTAAGTCAACAACCCTAACTACGAGACTACGAACTACGAGATTTGTGGGGTCGTGTGGCGTAGCGGCAGAGTGCGCGACTCGGAACTAAGAGTCCCGGGTTGGAGTCCTGACATGTCACCGATCTTGTGCCCTTGGGAAAGCCACTTTACACGACTTACTTTCCTGTAAATGAGTATTGTCCTGTCATGTATTTGTCCCCTGTGTTGGTGGCGGCATTAATATAAGTTGAAAAAACTTGAGTGTGCAGTCACCACGTCTGGTGATTACATGTTGGAATAAAAAAAAATACGAGACCACCTTGCCACCTGGTTAACTAGATGGAACATCGCGTTTTCTTAGAAGATCCGATCTCCATTAAGATAAGGGACCCAGTTTCGGTGTAAGATTTGCGTGACATCCATCATCGTTAAGATCTAAGCTCATGACGTCACGAGGGTGTGCATGGCGTCATCAGAGTTTATTTACTTACCGGCGTCTGACCCACTACCATAAACAACCTCGTCCTGCAGGAAGAGATAAACCCTCCTGCTGATTTAACCTGATAGGTTAGACCGCAGACGACCTATTACATCATCTAGTGGTTCGCAGGAAGAAAATGAGTTTTTCTTCTTTTCTTTCTTTCTTTCTTTCTTTTTGTCTTTCTTTCTTTCTTTCTTTCTTTGCTCTGCTTTCTTTTTTTCATTCTTTCTTATTCTTTCTTGTCCTTCCTTCTTTTCTTTCTTACTTCTTTTCTCCACTTTCTCTTCTTTCTCTGGTCTTTCTTTTCTGACGTTTTCTTAATTTCTTTCCTTTTTTCTTTTTCCTATCTTCTTCTCTTTCTCAGTTACAATTCTCATTCCTTTCTTTTCTTGATTTCTCCCTCGCCCTCTTTTCCTTCTTCATCTCTCTCCCTCGTTCATTCTCCCTTCTCCTTCCTCTGTCCCTCTCTCCCACTATCTTTCTCTCTCCATCCTCCTGCTCTCCATCCCTCTCTCTATCCCCCATCTCTAGGCCTTTCTCCTTTTCCAAGAGGCCAAACTAGATCTACCATATTCAACTTTTATTACAAAGCTAGAATTACGGTGCAAGAGCCAACCCACGGGCTCCTTCTGGAAGAAAGGATTTTGAACAAACGTGAAGGGCACGACCTGGAAATGGGCCATGTCTATTTTCCTTCCTCCTCTTCAAAGAAACCAAACTCTCAAATCCAACTTCTACAAAGTCCAACTCTCCGTGCAGAAGTTTTGGCCACGACTCCAACGATCGCGTGCGACCTGGCCGATGCTAAAAGCCAACCCGCCGGCCCCTTCTTGGAAGAAAGGATGTTGAACAAACTTGAGGGGCACGGGACAGCTGGAAACGGACCGGAGAGTCTTAAGGGCAATTAGAGCGAAATTTTGCAGTCTCATCGTGCGTATGCTGCGATCTCCAAGAAACGGGGCCTGTCTCAATGTTTTACGAAATCGATTACGCGTTTTTTTTGCGAAATCACCAAGAATTTCTAGTAGTACACTGTGCTGTGCAGGATCCTAACATCTGCTTGGAGACGAAGACCTGACCTACAGAGCGAACACTGTCTCTCTCCCTCCCCCCCTCTCTCTCCTTCTCTCTCTCTCTCTCTCTCACTCACTCACTCTGTGTGTGTGTGTGTGTGTGTGTGTGTGTGTGTGTGTGTGTGTGTGTGTGTGTGTGTGTGTGTGTGTGTGTGTGTGTGTGTGTCGCAGTTTTGGGGTGAATTTCTACTCCTTTAATATTTTGACACAGTGAATTGATCGGCTGGCTCTTGGAAGCCAGAAGGACCAACCAGGCCGGACTGGTATTGAACTAGCGTTACTTACACGTGTTGTACCGCTTTGGCAAATCGCCGTGTAATCCTGATTCTAACCGGTTCAGACATCTTCCCTGTGGCGCGGGGTCACGGGAGGTCAGCCGCACCAGGCCTGAGACACGCGCCCCTGATTAAACACACACAGGGGGAAAACTTGAGGATACCGTGGGGGGTTTTCAGTACACCATTTGGCATATTATTGGGCACTCGTATCGAAGCCAGGCATTTCTGAAGAAGGACAAGAAAGTTAACGCTAGAAGAAGGGGAACGAAAAAGAAGGAATATTTTTTTTTTTAATTTATTTATTCCAACATGCAATCACTAGACGTGGTGACGACACACTCAAGTTTTGCCAACTTATATTAATGCCGCCACCAACACAGGGGACAAATACATGACAGGACAATACTCATTTATACCTGAGCTAAGCGAGGAAAGTCGTGTAAAGTGCCTTTCCTACGGGCACAAGATCGGTGGCATGTCAGGACTAGAACCCGGGACTCTTGGTTCCGAGTCGCGCACTCTGCCGCTACACCACACGACCCCATAAGGAATATTTGGAGAGACAAAAGTAAGACAAAGAGAAAGAAAAGAATCTAGGCTTCTGTCGTCAAGTAGTCATGGATGGAAAACTCAGAGGAAGTAGACCAAGCAAAACGAAGAAACGGCCTCATGGTTTATTCTTTATTCACTCTCCAAGTAGAGGTTGAATGGGAAGATTGTGACCTTTTTCTATGCCCCGTTTTTTTTCTGACAGCCGGCCCATCCTTCGGTGGCCGACTGGATACTGTCCGCGTGTTGGATACTATCTTTTTTTGGCCACCAAAAGATCTGCTCGGAGATTAATTCTTATTCACTCTTCACAAGAA